ATTTTTTTTGGCTTAAAATTTGATTTTTTTTGGCTTAAAATTTGATATTTTTTGGCTTAAAATTTGATTTTTTCTTGGCTTAAAATTTGATTTTTTTCTTGGCTTAAAATTTGATTTTTTTTGGCTTAAAATTTGATTTTTTTTGGTAAAAATTTTGATTTTTTTGGTTAAAATTTGGGGGTTTTATTCGTTAAAATTTGATTTATTTTGGTAAAAATTCGATTTTTTCGGTTAAAATATGATTTTTTTATCCCTTAAAATTTGATTTATTTTGGGTGAAAATTTGGTTTTTTTATTCGTTAAAATTTGAATATTTTTGGGGTTAAAATTTGATTTATTTTGGTAAAAAATTCGATTTTTTTATTCGTTAAAAATTAATAATTTTTTTGGTGAAAATTTGATATTTTTTGGGTTAAAATTTGATGAATTTTTATTCGTTAAAATCTGATTTATTTTGGGTGAAAATTTGACTTTTTTCGGTCCAAACCCGGCGATTTTTTGAGGCAAAAAATTTGACTTTTTAGGGTTTTTTTTTTAAGTAGAAAAACGCGAATTTTGGGTCGAATTTAAGATTTAAAATTGAATTTTTTTGGGGAGAATTGAGGGAGGACGGAGGAGGAAATTTGGGGTTAAAAAGTCAAATTTTGGGTAAAAATGGGATTTTTTTGGGGTTAAAAATTGATTTTTTGGGGTTTTTAAAGCGAGTTTTGGGGGAAAATGAGGAAAATTGGGAAATGAGATAAATTTGATATAAATTTGATATAAATTTTATATAAATTTGATATAAATTTGATATAAAATTGATATAAAATTGAGGGAAAATGGGAAAAAATGGGGAAAAAATGATTAAAAATGGAGAAAAAAAATGAGGAAAAATGGAGAAAAATTGAGAAAAAATTGAGGAAAAAAATGATAAAAAATGGTCAAAAATGGGGAAAAATGGGGAAAAAAATGAGAAAAAAATGAGGAAAAAATGAAATAAAATTGATAAAAATTGATTTAAAAATAGAGAAAAAAATGAGGAAAAATGGAGAAAAAATTGAGAAAAAATGAAATAAAATTGATTAAAAATGATAAAATAAATGGAGAAAAAATGAGGAAAAAAATGTAAAAAATGATTAAAAAATTGAGATAAAATTGAGGAAAAAATGAGATAAAAAAGAGAAAAAATGAGAAAAAAATGAGAAAAAATGGAGAAAAGATTGAGATGAAATTAAGATAAAATTTAGATTAAAATGATAAAAAAATCGAGGAAAAATGGAGAAAAAATGAGAATAAAAAGAAATAAAATTGAGGAAAAAAATGATAAAAAATGAGATAAAATTGAGATAAAATTGAGATAAAATTGAGGAAAAAATGAGATAAAATGGAGAAAAAATGGAGAAAAAATGAGAAAAAAATTGAGATAAAAATGAGATAAAATCGAGAAAAAAATGAGATAAAATGGAGATAAAATGGAGAAAAATTGAGGAAAAAATGATTAAAAAAAGGAGAAAAAATGGAGAAAAAATAGAGAAAAAATGAGAAAAAATGAGAAAAAAAATGAGAAAAAAAATGAGATAAAATTGAGGAAAAAATTAGATAAAAAAGAAAAAAATGAGAAAAAAATGGGGAAAATATTGAGATAAAAATGAGATAAAAATGAGATAAAATTAAGATAAAATTAAGAAAAAATTGAGAAAAAATTCATAAAGAAATGAGATAAAATTGAGATAAAAATGAGGAAAAATTAAGATAAAATTGAGATAAAATGGAGAAAAATTGAGATTAAAAAAACAGAAAAAAATGAGAAAAAATGGAGAAAATATTGAGATATAATTGAGAAAAAATTGAGAAAAATTGAGATAAAATTAAGATAAAATTAAGATAAAATTAAGATAAAATGGTGAAAAAATTGAGAAAAAATGGAGAAAAAATGAGAAAAAAATTATAAAAAAATAGGGAAAAAATGGGGAAAAAATGAGAAAGAAATTGAGATAAAATTAAAGAAAAAATGAGATAAAAAAGAGAAAAAAAATGAGAAAAAATGGACAAAAAATTGAGATAAAATTGAGGTAAGATGGAGAAAAAAGTAAAAAAAAAAAATGAAATAAAATTGAGAAAAAATAATTTAAAAGTTGAGAAATAAAGGAGGAAAAATGGAGAAAAAATTGAGGTAAAATTGAGAAAAAAATTGAAAAAAAATGAAGAAAAAATGGAGAAAAAGAATTAAAAAGAAATAAAAGAGAAATCAAAGAAATAAAAGAGATAAAATTGGGTTAAAAAGGGAAATAAATGGAATTAAATCGAATTTTAAAGGGATATTTTTTTTAAATGGAGAAAATTGAATTTAATGGGGAAAAAATCTGGAGTTGAATTAAAGGAAATTAAATTGAAATAAATTAATTGGCTCGAAATGAAATTAAAATAAAATTCGATTTAATTTAATTCGATTTAATTCAGTTTAATTCGATTTAATTCAATTGAATTCGATTTAGTTTAATTAAAATTAATTTAATTCGATTTAATTTAGTATAATTTAGTTTAGTTCAATTTAATTTAATTTAATTTAATTTAATTTAATTTAGTTTAATTTAAAAAATAAAATAAAGCAATCAATTAAGTTAATTCAAGTTAAATTAAATTAAATTAAATTAAATCGAATAAATTCAAAGAAAATGAAAGAAAAGGGTTAAATTAATTTAAATTTAAGTTGAATTAAGTTAAATTAATTAAAATAAAATAAATTAAAGTAAAAGAAAAGAAAATAATTAAATTGAATTTAAACAAAGTTAAATTAAATTAAATTAAATTAAAATAAAATAAAATATAGTAAAAAAAATAATACAATTAAATTAAATTAAATTAACTTAAATCAAATCAAATTAAATTTAATTTAAAAAACCAGAAAAATAAATTTAAAAATAAACAAAAAACCTTTAAAAATAATCAAATAACCCCAAAAAAACCCAATTAAAAATCAATTAAAAAAATCCAATTAAATCCCTTTTTTTACCCCAAAAGTGGAACCGACCCAAAAAGGGGAAATTTGGCCTCAAAATTCTTT